GAGAAGGGGGGTTGGTATTAGGAGCGCCAGATTATGACGCCACATAAACGCGACCCTTCATTGTCGAAACGGATGCGGGACCGACTGCCTTAGGGGGAGTTCTAATACAGGCAGACATGGAAGGAAAGGAAAGACCCTTGCGATTTGARAGCCGAACTCTCTGTACGACGGAGAGGAACTACTCTCAGTTCAAGAGGGAGACCCTTGCTGTCCTTCACTGTCTGCGAATCTTCCGGAACTATATCTTCGGCAGGAGGTTCATTTTGAGAGTGGATCCGACCGCCCTGGCCTACTCTCTAAGGAATTACGTTCCATCGGATCCAACGGTTGCCAGATGGCTGACGTACATCTGGATGTTCAATTTTGAGTTGGAACGGATTCCTGGCAGCAAGAACCGGGCGGACGGGCTAAGTCGGATTAACTGGGATAGACAGGAAGGGGAAGCGGTGGAGAATACACCCCCAGTTGATGGATTTCTGGATCAGGAAGAAGATGTTCGTCTCCATATCAATAAGTGGTCGCCGCGAGTGCCCAGCTGTGTAGGCTATCCTATCTGGCGAGCGCCGAATGGATATGAGAGGGGGACCGAGTTAGTCCTCAAACCTTTTAAGGAAGAGGATCCCTGGGGCGGTAAGGATGTTCAGTGGATGATGGAGCTAGCGCTGGCCAGCTCGCACAGCCTGGTGGAGGATATGAGAACGATTGAAGAAGGACCTGGCCAGGTTGAACGGCATGAGGACCTGACAGGAGGAATGTATCTCCTCGTTAATACGTTATTGCAGGAAAGCCTAGACCAGTCAGACTCGTTGAACCCGGCAGAGGATGTGAACGAAGTGCCCGAGAGCCAGGACGACGAGTTCGAGGAAGGGGAAGTTAAGGAGGCATTTCGTGCAGAGGAGTACGACGGGATCTACCTAGAACTGGGGCTTCTTCTGTCATGTGAAATACGACTTAGGGATGCAAGCGATAGAGCTCATAGGATGATGCAGTGGTATCTAGTGCGAGACGGCCACCTTTTCGTGAGAAGAGAAGTGAGAAATCCTAGGAGAGTCGTCTGCGGTAGGAATCGTCAGATCGACGTCATAGCTGCGCTTCATGATGGCATTGCGGGAGGGCACCGAGGGATACAAGCTACGTATGCTAAGATAAGCGAGCTCTACTATTGGGATGGAATGATGGACATGGTCGGGAAGTTCTGCCGATCGTGCGTGCCTTGCCAGGAAAGGTCCCGTTTAAGACAAGGAGAGCCGCTGCATCCAAGGCTAGAGCGAGAGGTGGGGGCCGTAGTGCATCTCGATCTACTTTT